TCAAGACTTTCCCAATATTTGTTGAATTTTTTCTGCATTTCAAGTGCTATAAGACATACTTTTGGATCAAGGTGTTTAGACAAAGATTTCAATCTAGTTTGGACACCTACAAGTTCTTGAAAAAATATATTTGATGTTACATGCAAAATACCAGAAAATTGCAAAGTAACATCATAGAAAAGTTTAAAAACTTTATAAAAGTTCTCGCAATACTCCAATCATCTTCATCTGGCGGGCCAATGTATTTTCTATCTTTTACCTTTCTTCTTTCACAACTCTCTTCTTCCCCAAAATTTAGATTTCGGTCCCCATCATCATTATCTTTGCCACCCAAAGCAAAGTACATACGATAGCTTGAGTCATCTTCTGTTAGCCTCTCAAACGCTTTATCAAACTTGGCAGCCGCTTCTAGCATTAAATAAGTAGAGTTCCATCTCGTTTCAATATCAAGCCAAACTGAACTTTTGCTAGCAATTTTCTCTATATCTGTACATTTTTTAAACGTTTGGAGCCTAGCCGGAGATGAGCGCACATATCTAATGGCATTTCGAATCTTTAGAATTGAATCATTTTGTTCTTTTAAACCGTCCTTCACAATGAGATTAAAAATATGCGCACAACATCTAACATGCAAAAATTCATGATCTAGGACAGTCGCTTTCCACCCTTTAGTGTTCTTCCTCACATACTTAATTGCGCCATCATTAGGACTTGCATTATCAACTGTGATAGTCAATATTTTGTCTATCCCCCAATATAATAAACAATTTTCAATCATTTTACCAATTGTTTTACCCTTATGGCCAGGGATAACACAAAAACTTAAAATTCTCTTTTGCAACTTCCATTCCTTATCAATCCAATGTGTTGTGGGACACATATAGTTGATATTCTGAATTGAAGTCCATGTATCGGTCGTAAGATATATACATTCAGACTTTAGAAGACTTCTAAGTTATTGTTTTTCGTCAAAATAGAGTTTCATGCAATCCCTAGCAACAGTCATTCGACTTGGAAGTATAAATCTAGGTTGTAAACAAGCTGAATACTTTCTAAATCCATCACCCTCCACGATTTTGAAATGAAGCTCATCAAGAACGATCATTTCAACCAATTTCAACCTACAATCTTCGTAACTATAACTTACAGATTTATGAGTAAACGATGAAACACCATTCCCATCTGTAGGCTCTAAAACAAGTGTCTTTTGTTTCTTATCAACAAGACTGAAAGGATATTTCTTGCACTGAAGTTGCAGATGATTTATCAGGTTACCGGTGCCATGTTGTTTGGGGTGAGCTGCATAATCTTGACTACAATAATTGCACGAAGCTCTCGGATTCCCATTTTCCTCAAACCTTTCAAAATGATCCCGCACCCATGAGTTCTGCCTGCTTTAATTCCAACTCCTTCAGGCTTTTGTTCTTTTGGTGGAATCACTTTTTTTTTGAAACTTTTTTTCTTATCCTCGAAGGGCAGGTCTTCCACCGGATAGGTCGAGAAGGTGACTCAAGCTATCGTATGTACTTTGCGAGTTATTGAACATGATGGACATGTCCCAAGGGTACCAATCAACACATTTCGATAGGGTGAATGAATGTTGGAACATTATTTAGCAAGTTTTAGGTTGTATTTTTCAGCCCCTAGAGGAAGATAAGGAGAATGGACTTTTTTCTTGACTATTTTCCTACTTTAACTCCTTCTAGATTCTTCTAGATAAAAGGATGGGGATTTGCAAAATTTTGCCTAATTATTTAACTCTATTTTTTTGGCTATGTTGGATAAGATGGAAAACGAGATTTTCCTTGGATCCATTTCCTACTCTAACTCCTTCTAGATTCTTAAAAAGTAGGACGAAGCAGAATTGAATAAAAATTGGGCTCTTATGGAACATCATTTTTGGCTACTACTATATATTTGGTCCATTTGGAGACGTATCTGTTTCTTGAATCTTTTACTAGCACGTACTCCTTCTAGAGCCTTATAGATACAAAACTTTATAAGAAGATAAATATCACATGTGCATTTTGCACCCTGTGGCCGAGTTTTTAGAGCAAAAGTGTTCTCGAAATTTATTTTCTTCTTTCCTTCTTAACTATAAAGTTTGTATTAGAATTTTACTAAACTTTTATGCGGAACCTAATGACAAGATCTTGAAATCTAATTCATCTTAAAAACTCAAAACACATTGCGTTAGATTATAGACATACCGTTCGCCATAGATTCGAGTAGAGACGATGAAATGGCAAGCTTAAGTAATCCACCGAGACTCCTCTTAATAATCCTTACAGTCTTATAAGTGACTCACCTTCTCCTCTCTAACTTCTTAGCAAATCCTCTACTTTGCAATTAATATTTAATAGCAATGCCTTTTAGCTATTTTTGAGCAATATTTAGAAAATTCTTTCTAAACATTTATCCTTATCCGCAAGTAATAAGAATAACAGATAATTTCCGATTTCTTTTTTTTTTCTTTTTTTTTATTTATCACCGCACTCAATATAATAGTTAGCTCTCTTACTTCATATCAGTGTTTTGAAATCCGGACCGCACTGGCCCAATTGAACTGGTTAAACCATAAACCATTGCCTTTTTCAGTCCGATTTGACCGGTTTAATCGTGATATCAGAACCCGAGTGAAAACTGGATATATTTTTTTTGGCTCAAAATTGTGCTTTTTTCAAAAAAATAAACAATAGTGAGAACCCCCTCTAACCTTTTTTTAATAAGAATGGATCCAGCCTAGGGGTGAAAATCGAAACGAAATTTCCGAATCCGATCCAAATAAATCTCATATTGGAACGATTTTTTCAATTCCGATTTCCGAAATAGTTCCGATTTTTTTTCCAGATATTCTCCAATTATTTCCGATAATTTTGCGGAAATTATTACTATTTATTATTTACAATATAAATTTTTGAGAACCCACTTTAAAAAGCCCACTCTGAAAATAATAGGCAAACTTCAATTTTGAAAGCCCACTTTAAAAAAATACTAACACAACACATAATTGCGAAATATTTAAAATAACTTTTACAAGTTTTATGAACTAAACACTAAATACCACAATATAACATAAAACTCTAATTTATTCATTTCTTCTTCAGCCGTCCATGCTGTAACATGAAAAAATTTTGTTACAAAAATAATATTACCAAAAATTAGTTTCAGGAAGGAAGAGCCACATGCTAAAATCCAAATATCACTAACTCCCGTCTTTTTTATTGATATCAAACTAATTGTTAATTATCATAGAGTTCATATTTTGTGGTAAACTAAAAAAAATAGGGTCTTACAACAATCAGAGCCACAATCAGGGGTTCACCAATGGGTCTGAGAGCGAAGCGAGATTGTTGACAATCCTTAGAGATGGTGTTGTTCCTTGTTCAGATTTCGATGGCGGATAAGTTCACGGCTATGAGGACGACGACGACAGTGGTTCTTCGTCTCGAGATTGAGAGAGAGGAGAACCAAATCGAGGGTCTGTTTTGTCCTTCTGGGCGAGAAAAGGAGAAAATAGAAAAGATGCGATAGATCGAGAGTCCAAATATACCCCAATGCAGCATAGCACTATCTTCTCCACCGCCTCAGGAATTACGCCGGTGAAGGCGGAGACCCTATCAACATCTTTAGTTTGCATGGGCAACATTAGTTAGGCAGCAGCGTGGCGAATGGCTGCGGCGGCGCATAAATGCAACATGGGTAGAGGCAGTGGCGGCACAAAGATGGAGGAGGGTTGGAGGTGGCAGTATGTAAGGAGAAAAGATAGTGGGGAATAAGAGAAATTGAGAGAACGTGAAATAAGTTTGGTTATTTTAGATATAACTTATAAGGGCAAATTAGGTATATTGGTCATGTCAAATACAATATTAGTTAAAAAAAAATTATTTAATACAAGGTGGGGTTCTCACTAATAATGAAAAGGAGATTATATCCACCTTAATATAAGTAAATGAATTGGGGATTTTCACTAATTATCCCTATTTTTTATTATCATTTCTATAATATTTGAAATGACTCAGTGTGATGTGTGTGTTGATATGTTGTGTGTGTAAAAGAAAATTAAGTTTAATTGATGTTTTAATTGGAAATGAGAAATTAGTTAATGTGTGTAAAAGAAAATATGTTTACTACTATAAAAAATATGTGTAAATAATTATAAAATAAAAAATGAAAAAATGCGGTTGGACCAGTAGCTTGTCTGGTCAATGTCCGGTCCGATTTTCAAAACATTGTTCAAACTTTTCTTCTTGTTTGAATATACTGCGGCTTCAATTTTTTCTTGTTTATTTTATAAAGTCACCGAGGCTCTTTTGTTTTTTTCAATGTTGTCAGAACCGGACCGAACATAAAATCGGCGAGGCATTCGGGTCATGGTTGGACCGGTACAACCGGGGTCAACCCGGAATTTTTACTTTTTTTATTTATTCTATTTATTTTTTACTTTTATATACATATAAATACATCCAAATAAAAATTTAAATCATTAAAAAACAAATGAAAAACTTCACTTTAATCCAAAAACTATTCATAATAATAATGTATCTCATCAAAATCATTTTCATCACATAATTAAAATATAAATTAGTAAATTTACTTAAAAAGAAAAAAAGTCACAAACTAAAATCATAAATTTTAAAATAAAATAAAATCATCTCATAATAATCACCATCACTCATCAACGTCGTCCTCGGCCCCATCTCCATCTCTATCTCGATTTTGATCTCCATCTTCTATTTGATATTCATCCAAGCCATGCTCTCCAATATGTACATACGTACATAAACATTCGCTTGAAGCCAATAAATTATGAACAATATTTTTGTAAATAACTAATTGAAATATAATTTTTAAATTACTTCATATTATCATCATCAAAACTAAATAACATTAAAAAAATCCTTGTGCACTTGATTCTCCCATATCTCTTGGAAATGTTTTTAGCAACATGATCTCAAGCTCATTAAAGGCAAGCTCTCCTTCTCCTTCCTTTCCTCAATTCAAAATTCAGTTTTCTCAAGTGATTCGTAATCAACTGGATCATATGATCTCTTAGAATTCGTCAACCTAGCAAATTATAAGTAATGGTATAAAGTTGAGTAGTAAAATCCAAAAATAATTTATTGAATATTGCAAAGCTTACCTATTCTTCAATCGCAAAATATAGTGAACATAGACAAGATCATTCAATCTTTGATGCTCAAGCCTATTTCTTTTCTTTGTGTGGATGCGCTCAAATACATTCCAATTACGCTTGCATCCAGAAGGGGAAGAAGTTTGACCAATGATCTTTATAGCCAATTTTTGCAAATTTGGCACATCAAAACCAAATAATCTCCACCATTCATCTGTTACAGTTATCAACATTAGTATATTTATAAATTAAAACAAGTACGAATGCAATAATTTTAAAACTTTAAAAATAAAAGGTAAAAAACAATAGCATCATAAATTAATATTTACCCGGTCTAGTCGTTTTACAACAAGCAATTGTCTTTGGACGAGAAAAGCCCTTCTCACGCTCTCGAAAAATTCTTAACTTATCCAGAATTTTTAGGCCATCGTCGCCTTCCACCTTATCCAATACATTTAGCACTCCACGCATAATCTTAGGCTTTTTTCAGTAAGAAGATTGATCGTATTGAAAAACAGGGTTCAAATAATATGCTGCTGCATGGAGATCTTTTGTCAACATAAGATCCCATCTTCTGTCTATAATATCAGTTTAGGGCGTGTCGTATATTTTCTTATGTTTAAAAATATTCATAATCCCCAAACGTGCCATGAGCATGCCCTCATATATATAAGCCAAGGATGATTTCTCATCAGGATCACACAACCGCAACAAGCGTATCAACGGTGTCATAATCTTCACGATCATCAAACAATTACCCCAAAATTTCTCATCTAATACAATTTGTTTTACATCTTTAGCTCTTTGCACTTTCAAATATTTCTGAAACTCAGCGCTAAGGACCAAACTCTGCAAATCATCCTTATGCGCATGCAAGTTTTGTCAAGCAATAAAGTTCGTAGCAAAATGGGTTGCACCAGGAGGGATAATTTCTCGCCATCCTTCTCTCTTTCATAGCCAACTCAAAGTAAACGTGATTGCAGACAAAGACAGTCACCGTTGAAGCACGAATAGCCACACTTTGGACGATTTTCAGCTCTCCAACATCTTTAAATATCAAATTCATACAGTGAGGTGCACATGGTGACCAAAAAATAAAAGGATACTTCTCCGCAAGCTTACCACCCACAACTTTATAATTAGCTCCATTGTCTATTACCATGTGTGCAATATTACAAGGACCAACCCTTTCCACAATCTCACAAAACAACTTACATAATTCTTCAGCAGTTGAACAAATATCAGAAGCACCAACAAATTTGACAAATGAAATTCCTTTTGGACAATAAACTAAAAAGTTAATCAAAGACCTCTGTCTAATGTATGTCCATCCATCTGCCATTATAGTGCAACCTGTATCCTCCCAAGTTCTTCTCATAGATTCCATGATCAACTTAACATGCATTTTAGCATCACTCAGTAAGTTAACATGCAAAGCATGATAAGAAGGATGTTTATAACCAAGATCAATATTAGCTATTTTATCAATGACACCTTGAAAGTAAGGTGAATTGCAAGCATTAAACGAGATACATACATCATAAAACCATAACGCAATGGCTAAGTCAGTCTCTTTCCACCTTTCCTTACTTTTCATGCATGCTCTCATAGAAGGTTGGGAAGAATGAGTTACCTTAAGACCTTCCTAACGAAATGCTTCAATCCCATTAGAGGCTTTTCTCTTCCCCTTTGACGGTTTCTTTTGTGAAGGAATGTCGTCACCTTCACTTGATGAGTCATCAAACACTCCTTTCTTCTCCTTACATTTTTTTATTAAAATCCAATAAACTTTTCATTTCGAACCGGACTTCTGGGTCAACCTTATTGCAAGATTTTTTTTATTTTTTTTTGTAGTTCTGGCAAGATGTTGTTTCATTTTGTTAATACCTCCACCCTTATTTTTTTGTTGCAGAACAAACAAATCAGCACTTTTTTTCTTTATGCAATTGTTCCCTCGGAAATATAATTCCATGTCGCGTCCTTTTTTTCCTAATTGAAGTAGCTGAAGAAGCTTCTGCTTATGACGAAGTTGTATTACTCTCAAGCTCAGCCATAGTCTCCAAATAAATTAAGGAAAAAAAGAAGATGAGTTAAAAATATTTTCACGGTTGAATACGATACTCAAAAAATATTTCAATTTATTAATGATCCTAGATCAAATCATTAATGTATTTTGCATTAAAATTATTTCTGGTACACTAGATATGGTATTAGAAAAGCTAGCCATGGGCCCACAACTTAAATGTCATTCGAACAAAAAATTGTTCTTACACGAACTTGTTTCTAAAGTTCTCATTAAGATGAAACACATTTCATGTTAACCACTGTTTCAACTAGGGGTGTAAACGAGCCGAGCTCGAGTTATTTTTTTTGGCTCGAGCACGAGCTCATTTTGATTTTTTTTTCAACTACTAATTTTTGTATTAAAAATCATTTATGGTATAATGAATAAAATTAGAAAATAAATAATGAATTGTGGTTATATTTTTATTTTAATTTTTTTTAATATTATTTTTATATTATTATGCATTATCTAAGTAATATAGATTTGTTTATATTTAAATACTAGTAATAATATATATAGCAACAGTTCGCGAGTTGTCGAACAACTGTATATTGGGCTCGAACTAGAGCTTGTCCAAAGCTCAAACTCAAGAGCTCGACTTCGAGCCGGCTCGACTCACTTACCACTCATAGTCTCAATAGTATATGCCTAATGAATCAAGATTGGCGCCTATCAACTACGCATCATGATTCCCAAGATAGAAATGAAGTGTCTGCAAGAATCGTATGATATAGTTCACCTAAAGTACGATCCAGTTGATACATATATCCCGATTGAACTACAGGCATTGGTTCACCGAGACCTCTTTTTGAGTTCAATAATTGCTTGGACGTTCTTGATTATATAAGAAGTTCGTGTTTAACTTAGAGAAACACATTTCTCTAATCACGACACTTTCGGTTGTGGCCACAGACTTCATGGATTATAAATCGTAAGAATACACAGGATATCCATGACTGAGCATGCGATTGAATCCCCTATTACAATGCATAAACTTCACACTAGATTTCGGACTGCACGAACAGTGGCTCTTGGGGCGGCGTTCGATGAGACTCAAGGACAAGTCACGATACAGCTGGTCCTCTAGTGAAGCAACGGTGATGTATTGGTCTCAACGATTAATGGTGTATAACTATATTATAGAAACCTCTACTCAGTAATGGGAACCAACTTAGAGATCTGCAGATTGAGGGAGTTTAGTGAACTCATCAACTTATGATCAGCCAGTTATGTATGACGATGTCACAACACCATTGACTAATGAGGCACAGTACCCATACACTAAGTGCTAGTCTCAAATGTGAAAGACCGATATCCTCATCAGTGGCGTAAGCCGTTGACTAAGAACTATGTTTAAGAGTTACTATACTTAAATAAATAATCTCATGATACTAATAGATCTATTTATAGTAATTAAGTAACTGTAAAGACTATATCTATGGAAAGACAGATAAATAAGCCAAAAGGTATTTATCATTAATATGAAATACATTATTTACCAGTAGTGTGATGGCTTATTGGTCATCTCCTCTAACAAGAAGTTCACTCAAGAGCTGGGTGTTGTTCTAAATGCAAATGATCCAGTACAGCTGTACGACGACAACACCGGAGCCGTAAGGACCCGAGATCTCATTAGAAGTCCAAGCATATTCTGAGGAAGTATCATGTGATCATAGAGATCATTGATAGAGGTGAAGTCAAGGTCAAACGAGTCATCTCGGAAGAAGATGTAGCATACCCCTTTACGAAGCCTCTGTCCTCACCGGTCCACGAGAAACAACGATAGTCGATGAGATTACGATTTATGGGTAGTTGACTTTCGGTCAAGTGGGAGAATATTAGAGTAGGTGACCAACAAGCCAACTTGTGTCTTTGGTATTTCTTTTATTATTGTAATAAACAATAAATTTTGTATGAATGATAAAATTTATTTTGGCATTCTATAGATTTCTCCCTTGCACGCACATAGATATAGTCCTTGCAGTTACTCTAATTATGATCTAGTTGAATCATGAGATATTTAAATAAGTAATATAACTGTTATATCTAGTTTCTAGTCAACGGGTTACACCATTAATGAAGATACTGGCCTTTCCCAATATAGACTAGCACTTAGTGTATGTGTATTGCGTCTCATCACTAAACAATATTGTGATATCTGCATACATGACTGGGTGTTCATATAGATGAGTTCACCGAAACTCCCCCATCCTAGAAATATCTAAGTGGTTCCCAATAATCGAGTAAGGGTTTCTATGATATAGTTGTACACCATTAATCCTTAAGACCCAGACATCACCATGACTTCACTAGAAGACCAGTTGTATCGTGTCTTGTCCCTAAGTCCCACGGAGGACCGCTCCATGAACCAATGTTCGTGTAGTCCGAAATCTAATGTGAAGTTTGTGCAATGTAGTAGGAGATTCGGTTTCTAGACTAGTCATGGATGTGTGTGTTCTTATAGTGTATAATCGACAGAGTCTCTGGCCAGAGCTGATTGTGTGACGATCAGGGAAATATGTTTCTCTGAGTCATACACAAATAGATTATATATCTCAGAATGTTCACACAACTACCAAAATTTAAATAGAGGTCTCGGTGGACCAATGCCTCTAGTTGAATTGGGACATATGTATCGAATGTATTGTACTGTACGTTAACTCTATCACCCAGTTCTTGCAAGCACTTTATTTGTATCTAGGGAATCATGATGCGTAGTTTCTAGACGTCAATCTTGATTCGTTGGGCAGTTAAGTTGAAACTAGATTCATCGTAATTATAACACTAGGGACGAGTTTAAACCACAATGTGTTGTTGGCCCACGACTAGCTACACTTGAACCATTGAGTGTCACACTTCTCTTGTACTTCAGATCCTTAAATGTAACGAGATAAAATAATTAGTTAATCTTACTGTAATTGGAAGTTAATGTGATTGAGTCCAACATTTGTAATCGTTAATTACGGATAATAACGAATAAAGGAAAAGAATTCAACGGAAATTTAGTGAACTTTCTAAATTGGGAAGTTTTTCGATTTGCCGGGTCATAAATTAGGGTTTCCAATTTCGAAAATTGGAAAATTGCAAAGTGGTACTCGTATCGATGACAATATTGTGCTTGTCACTAAAATATAATTGTTATATTTTTGCGAGCATCCGTTTATTAGAATCGAGCTGAGAAAGAGAGTTGGCTTAAGTTGTTGGACTTGGTCCAACTTAAGCCCTATATAAATAGTGTGTTAGTGGCTCATTAACACAATACCTAACCCTAGTCTCTCCTCTTCCATCAACCGCTCCACCCTGCAGCCGAAACCCTTCTTCCACCACCTGCCACCGCACCGCCGCATTGGCATCTTCTTTTCCCCTCGTTCTTCTTCGTTGTAACTAGCCTGTTATGTATCTAGTGTTGCGTGGATAGTGGATTGAATATACGGGGTGAAACCTAAGAGGAGGAGGAGTCTTCTGTCACCATTGGCGCCACCAGGGTATTCTCCACCGCCACAAGCTGGTGCTGGGAGAAGGTAATCCTGAAAATCTGTTCTCAGGTTTTTTGTGCAGTCTAGCAAGCAAATTCACCATAAATCAAGTGATGATTTAGAAAAAGCTTTGCAACTCATGGAGATACAATACCACATAGGGAACTGTCCACCAAATCAATATTCATGGAGATATTGAAATCGTAGCAGACCTGAAATTTCAAATTAGGAAACAGTTCCAACATATGCGTCGCTGCACCACCGTCGCCGGTCGGATCAGTAGGAGTGGGAAGAGTAGCTAACCATCTTCTCGAGTCTTTGTTCGATTTACACTCTAGAGTAAAAAATCGTTTTCCCTAATTAATTATTTTTTGTTAATTGAGATTAATGTATGTTAATTGATTATTGTCACATGAATCTATATGTTTGATTATGTGTTTATGTGAATCGTTCGCTGATCATGTTCATTATTTAAATTTATTGATGCAAGCATGCTACTTGATTTATTTAATGTAATTTAAAAAAAATATAAACGAGTATGTTTGTTGGTGATTGCAAGAAATCATATACGCAATTAATTGAAATTATGTGCACGTGTTTATTTATACAAATTAGTTTGTATAAATTAAATAAAAAAATTATTTTCCACTGCGTACACGTGCACGATTCCCAATACTAGATGGGCCACGTTGATGGAAGAGCCATCTTTAGAGCAGCCACTATTTGCAAGTGGCCTATAACCACATCAAAAGTCGCGCATACCGTAGCATGAACCTCTAAGAGGCAAACACCTCAACAGGA